TGTATTCTTCCATATTCCCAGTCACCTTGCCATGTTTAAATGCAGTGGTTCACGCTTTCAGTTAGCTAGCTATCACATGAATTGTGCAAAAATATGATAGCTAATGTTAGCTAGCTAAGCACTAGCCAGTCAGTCAGTGGCGCTGACAGATTGAAACTGGTATCAACAAAATGTGTTTCACTTTATCCTATAATACAGGACATTGCTAACTAGGCCTCCTTTAGCTAATAAAATGTTTATTAGGAAGTTTAGTTAATAAGTTAGACACTCACCGGACAACTTTGGTAGGTCGCTAGCTAGATAGCTTGGTTTCCATTTTCCAACAGATGTTTCTAAACCCCCTGATTGGTCATCAACGGTTACTGGTCTTGGAACTTGTTGCCACAGGTTTGTTGAATCCTGTCTGCCAGAAAAATCCCTCTGGCAAACTGTTTGCCGCTAGTGTCAATAAATATTATTGTTGCCAAAGGTTTGCCGCAGATTCACCACTAGTGGCAACCGTTTGCAAACTTTTGGCAACATTTTGTGGCACACTATTTAGTTTGCAGCAAATTTGCCACAAACTTGCAGGAAGTTTGCAACAACAAATTCATTTTTGGAAAGGATTTTGTTCCTTTGAAATGATTTATACTGTATTTTCAAATGAATGGGACGCTCTTAGAAATTCAGCTTCATTTTCAGTTTGTGTTGATTTCAAAGTGGCAAATCTCAAACCGTAATTACCATTTAAATTAAAATAGTTACCAACTGTTTACTATTTACCCAATTTCTACTTCAGACCCTGTAAAAGGAACTGCTACAGATGTTACAGCGGTTGCCCTCAGACACAGCTGGCTGCTGCGCGCCTTGCCGAGGCACAGCGGTGGGATACACCCTAGTCATGTGACTTGTGGTCTGTGTGTGTGTGTGTAAATGTATTTTGCCTCTGCTCTCCAGGCACCGACCAAAGTACAGCTAGCCTACTCCTCTGACCAGAACACCAGCAAACAGATCCCAGAAGGGAAGGGCCACTCCCTCCCTGTTTTCAAATCGTGGAGCCTGGCCTAGCCTTTAATTCTCTTGGAGACTCACATCTGCAACTACTTTGACCCTGGGAGAAAATAGAAAGCTGGCAGTGTGGCCTGTGATTTGGCTACATATACATATCGGAGCCGGTACTGGAGAGGCCACTAATATAGAACGGCTAAAGGGTGGGAGGAAGGGAAGGGCTGCTGGAGGGATGGATGGAGGATCAAAAAGGAAAGAGCTAGGCTTGAGTGTTTACTGTACTTCGGTTTTACCTCTGCAACATGTTGGATGGACAGAGACATGTCTACAGACCTCCAACAGAGCGAGATTTGAGAAAAAAAACATGACATATTGGGAGTCGTGATCCTACATGTAATTATATGGTCAAATCGGCACATGGATGTGACAATAGAAATATAATTAGAATTCTATGAATATAAACTCAAAGCAATGCCCTGGACTTGACTTTGACATGTGGCTGTTCCATAATAGATCAGACTATCGTGTAAATTAGGTGGAGTTTTTAGTTAAGTTTAAAAATATAACTTGAATGAAGGAAAAAAGTAGGTTCTTCTGACATGGACTTCTGAAGGTTCATTTAGAAGCTCCTATCATTAATTCAATAGGCAGAGTAATCATTGAGGGGTATGCTCGGCCCATGTAATGGTACTGTAGGCCTCTTGATAGCAGACTGCTCCTTCCTCTGTGGTGGTCTGCTTGGGCAGCCCTCCTCTGTAGTCAAGGGTATATTTACACAACCAGCATGTTCCAAATGACATGATCCACATATAGACAGCAGCACTGAAGGAGGCTTAGAGGCGGGAGAACTTCGGAAAAGTAAAATAAAATACAACAGTTTATTGTTTTAGCTGTACCTTCAATGACCCGCCCCAAAATCATCCTAAACCTTTTAAGCCAAAATCAAATGGAGTTGATCCACTCTGGAATGATTTTGAAGGTCCATATTACATTCAGTTCCTGGCCTTCTCAGATACAGTAGGTGACCACAACGACCAACGTTGGCCCAGTTTCCCGATAGCGATGGGATTTATGCTTAAGAGTGTTTTAATGACGCATCATTCCTACAACGGCCGAAGATGTAACATGCGTTTCCCAAAACAGCATGCAGAGAGAATGTTTACTAAAGCCGGTGCACACTACATGATTTTGTCCCCGCTTTAGCTGTCCCAGACAAGTTTTTGAGAACGGAGACAAAATCCCCATTGTCATTGCCTACTCGGGGCACGCGGCCATCACAATGCTCGTTTAATGAGAGCGGGTCAGAGACGCAGTCTGAGGGCTACCAATCCCGTCTTTGAGCCGTCCCGATATTTTCAAACACGTTTGATTTTATCGGCACAAAATCTACAATGCTCTTGTAGTGTGAGATGTGTAGCAACAAGTTTTGAGAACGGGGAACAGCAATAGCCAATGATAGCTTGCCAGAAAAGAAGCCAAAGATGATGACGTATCGCATCACACAGAGTAGATACAATCATTGGTGTAGACTCTTTAGCAGGAGCCATGACTACTACTAATATACCTTTGTACTTGCCTTTAACCAAAGCGACAAATCGTTACAGCTCTGAAATCGGATCAAATAAAATCATATTTGTCACATGTGCCGAATACAAAAACCGTGAAATTCTAACTTATGAGCCCTTAACCAACAATGCACAGTTTTTAAAAAAGTAAGAAAAATTTGCTAAATAAACTAAAGGTAAAATAGTAACACAATAAAATAACAATAACAAGGCTATATACAAAGGGTACCGGTACCGAGTAAATGTGCAGGGGTACGGGTTAGTCGAGGTAATTTAGGTAATATGTACATGTAGGTAAGTTTAGAGTGACTATGCATAGATAATAAACAGAGAGTAGCAGCAGTGTATGTGACGAGTGTGAAGGAATATGAATGTATGTTTGTGTGTGTGTGTGTGTGGCGTCAATATGCGTGTGTGTTTTGTGTGTGTGTGTGTCCGTGTGTGTGTGTTGGAGTGTCAGTGTAGTATGTTTACGAGCCTGTGCAAGAGGGTCAGTGCCAAAAATAATAATAAATACAAACAAAATAAGAGAGTTAAGGCAAATAGTCTGGGTAGCCATTTGATTAACTGCTCAGCAGTCTTCAGCATGGCTTGGAGGTAGAAGCTGTTAAGGAACCTTTTTGCCTTTTAGCTCTGAAGTTCACAAGCAATGTTATTCATTTCAAAAGGTATTGGCTAGATATTTCAAATCTGTAGGCCTATAGCAAGCGTGAATGTCTGACTGAAAAACGTTTATGATGCTGCCTTGAGCCACAGCTCGTTCTAGCTACGTTAACAATCTCACATCATTGATTTTGCGAGAAAGCGTGGTATAGAGAATCCTCACGACCAAGTGAAGAATCTTGTAGTGTGTGACCCTGTCTGTACCACATCATTTAGTGTGCGCATCAAGACAGAAGACTACAGGAAAGACGGTTGTTTAATGACTCAGCGATGTTAGGATTTTGAAAGTCACGTAGTGTACCTGCCCGGCATAAGTGCGTCTTCGAAGCACGTGTCGATACTGATAGGATCGAAAGAAAAGCAACGCTGCTCTCAAATCAGCTTTCTCCATTCAAATCTTACCTTAACATTATAATTATTCCACAATAATTAGCCAATACTTTATTGATCTTTTAATGCAGTCATCTCAGTTTTCATTTGAAGCATCTTTTTTTATCCTCGGTTTGTAACAATTTCAAAGACATTGGAACTTTGTATTTATAGTCAACTTCGTTCTGAAGTAATGGCGGTCACAGAGACAGATAAACATCTTGATTCAGTGTTTAGCTGAGATCTTCTGTGTATAAAGTGACTCGGAAGGGCAAAATAGCATCTAATGCAGTGGTGTAAAGTACTTAAGTAAAAATACTACTTAAATCGTTTTTTGGGGGTATCTGTAAATTACTTTACTAATTATATTTTTAACTACTTTTACTTTTACTTCACTACATTCCTAAAGAAAGTAATGTACTTTTTACTCCATACATTATCCCTGACACCCAAAAGCACTCGTTACATTTTGAATGCTTAGCAGGACAGGAAAATGGTCCAATTCACACACTTATCAAGAGAACTTCCCTGGTCATCTCTACCAGGGAAGTTCTCTTGATAAGTGTGTGAATTGGACCATTTTCCTGTCCTGCTAAGCATTCAAAATGTAACGAGTGCTTACTAAACACAAATGCTTAGTTGGTAAATTATGTCTGAGTGTTGAAGTGTGCCCCTGGCTATCTGTAAATAAATAAACTCGAAAATAGTGCCGTCTGGTTTGCTTAATATAAGGAATTTGAAATGATTTATACTTTTACTTTTGATACATAAGTATATTTAAAACCAAATACTTTTAGACTTTTACTCAAGTAGTATTTTACTGGGTGACTTTCACTCTCACTTGAGTCATTTTCTATTAAGGTATCTTTACTTTTACTCAAGTATGACAATTGGTTACTTTTTCCACCACTGACGCACTTAGCTGTTCTACAAGTGGTCTGAGGCAGTCGGTAAATAATGGGCGTTTTCAAGAACAACTTTAGCAAAGATGGTTTTGGGAACCAGCTCTGAGATTTAACGATGCTCCTACAAAGGTTCTAACGATGACTTAGCCATAAGATGCTTTTAGGAAACCGGGCCCTGCTCTTTTCAGGAGAACTTCTGCAAAAGGGGCTTATGTTCATCCACCAAAACAAGTAGGATCCTTGGTCGAGAATTGTCTGCCATTGTGGGTCAAACCTGAGGAAAGACTGAAGAGTTTGACAAGAGAGGAAAATAATCATCAATGTCCCACCCACACATTCAAGATTACTCCAAGGCCGGAATTCAATCATTGCATGCAGCACAATCTGCAACAATTGAATTCAGCCGCTGTTTTTCTTTTATTACTGACCTCAAAATTCTGCCTTTGATGTTGCAAATAAATCCATTGATGGGAAATAAAAATAATGCTTAAACAAGTCAGTGGTACAAACCTTCTGTGGTTGTTAAATGTTTTATTTTACTTTCTCACATTTGTTTTTCACAAAGGGGTCTAGAAATGGTCAAGATCCAATGCAGTGACAATGATACTAACCTTTAGCTAACAATACAGCTACCAATAAAAAATAACAGCAATAATAATATTACAGTACATTAGAACAATAATTAATTCATGTCTTAATAATAATTATAAAGGAAAAAAAGTGACCCATGATGAAAAGAGGCCATTAGTCCGATGTCGGGTGGCTTTTAGGGAAGCATCCACCAGTCTCCATCCACCGTCTTCTCCTTTAATTATATCCTATCTCCTATCATTCTGTTCTTCGATATCTTCTGTCCACTAACCAGCCTTCAATGTGTGCTAAATCGCCCCAAAAACATAAAATGTTTAATTGACAGGTGGCGCATAATCCCTGTTCCAAAAAGGTTTAGAATAGCCTACTGCAGCTCACGATTGAATGTCATACAACACATTTTAGAAGTGCGTTGTTTAAATCTGCATGAATAATCCTCAAGTTTTCAGATTAACCCTGCTGCAAGTATTATGAGTAATACAGACTTTTTTTGTGTATTTCAACATTGTTTAACAGACAGAGTATATAACCCTCTACGTATGTTTCTCTACATCTGTCTCTCTACCTGCTGAAGAGTTTCATGAAGCTCTGGAAGCCGTCCTCTCCGAAGAAGTCGAAGGAGCCCTGTGAGGTGCCCAGGTGTACCAGCAGCAGTACCAGCAGCACCACCACCAACAGGGGCACCAACAGGTTCCAGCCTGCCGCCAGGATGTTGTACCACTTGGCCTTGTCCGAGCACTCCTGGGCCAGCTGCAAGTTCCCCTGGGTCTTCTGGTCCCTGGCCTGGACAGGAGAGAGAAGCAAATGTTAAAAGCAATGTAGTGCCTTTAAAAAAAAAGTGTCTTTAATTGAATTGAGAGAGAGAGCGAGAGAGTTAATTTATTGATAGGGCTTAAATTAGGAGAGGCCTCTGATGTACGTTTTCTAATGTTATCATAATGATAGGTTTTAGGATAATGTTTTTTCAATCTCTGGATATGGTTCAATTGAAAATTATGTCATAATGACACAAACGTATGTATTATGTAATTATGGTAATTAAGAGGTAATATGTTCATGTAAAATATATATATATTTTCTTAATATTTAGATCTGTGTCCATATTGTCCATGTGTTTCTAGTGGATAGACTATATGTTTAAAGAGAAAATAGCGTAATTAATGAAAAAAGCATCCAATTAACAATGGCAACATTTTTACTCTGCAACTCTTCCAGCTATTTACTTTTTTCACAACTGCCACCAGTTTGGCGACAAAGCATATACAACAAAGACATAGTGACATAGTAAAATAAATAAAAGTGTGTAAAAATATAAATAATATTTAATACTGAAACCCTCATATTAAACACCAAACGGTATTCACCAAGTTTATGGGTTACATTTAGGAAAATGTTTTACAGCTTTGTCATTCTATTTTTTTCTATTTTTATAATCCTATTTTCTATTAAATGTTATGAAAATGTCATGAAATCCTTGAAAGTTTCAAAAATTCCAGTAATTTACTGGTAAACCTAGAAAATTACCAGTAATATACCCTCCCTTTTCAACCTACACAGGCCCATCATGTATGTCTTATGACCAGGTTTATACACCTGTATTTCTTGGCGAATACACTGGTTGAAGTCTAAGCAGTGTTTCCTCTAGATTAGTTCTTATAAAGACACAGAGGATTACTAACCATCATCTATAGCAGCAGGAACCACATTTTTTACTTTGGGACATGTTTTATGCAGGTAGAATAGAGCAGGACTGGAGGCCTGCCCAAGTAAGTAATTGTACCGGGGAAAACATTGGTCTAAGACATTTGCCATATTTCTGCCCACTAATAACATATCTGGTTTATTTGGAGAAAAATGTAGTTGGCTGTAGACACTGATTTTAGGTCAGTTTTTCTTGCCTAAATAGTTAGGTTTAGAATTAGAATTGGATGGCAAACTGATCCTAGATCTGTGTCTACATTCATATTCTCCCCTGGAGCATGTCTGTACTCTGGTATGGTACTCCTGCTTCCCCCATGCTAGTCTTTAATCTCCCATCAGCACTTGCCTATTAGTAAGATGCCAATTACGCTAGTTTTAAACCCTTCAGTCTGTCAGTCAGGCTGCCAGTGGTGGTGCTCATCTCTAATTTGGGCTCTGTTTCATTACAGGGGAAGTGATTTTGGGCCACTGTGCCTGCTGGCTTCTTGCGTTCCCAGTCCACATCCCCCATTCCTGTGGTGCAGGACACACAGACTCCCTCATCTAGTTTGGCTTATGGAGAAGCCTTAGACAGTGCATGTATCTTACAGGAGTCTCAATATTAGTACAGTTATATAGTACTGTATGGCAGCTGTAAACATGGGCTTTGAATGGATGCAATTTAACACTCATTATTTGTGTTCAACTTATGCTGGCTGTTCAACCTATCTCTGTGTTGCCTCTATTTTAGCTAACAATACAACAGCTACAACATAATAATTAGTGAGACAGGTTGAAATAGAGACTTGGGGAAAGAGAGAGATAGAGAGACTTGGGGAAAGAGAGAGATATAGAGACTTGGGGAAAGAGAGAGAGATATAGAGACTTGTAAAAAGTGAGAGAGATATAAACCTTGTAAAGAACTCACTTTAATGGAGTAGATGAGAGCCATGAATCCCAGACAGCAGAAGTTGACATACAGGGTGTTGCACAGGGACCAGACTAGGTAGTCACTGGGTGGCTTCTTGCCTGCGGTGCCCATATTCACCACGGTGGAACCCGCCGGCTTGCGGGCCGACTTGCAGTTGGTGAGAGGGGTGCAGTCGGACGGGTAGTTGTAAGTGTGGTTGTCCATTCTTTTGGCTTTTTCAATTCTTGTTATCTGGTCCTGAATGTCCTTGGTTTGTTGAAAAGAAGCTGGACAATTCTGTGACCTGCCTTGCTCCACTTGCTCTGCTTGGATGGCGTCTCCTAGTGTGCCATGGCCCCTGTGTGGGGCTTTTATGCCCCTGTGGAGGTTGGTGACAGCGAGAGGGCGCGTTGGGCAGGGACCTGTAGGCCTGTCATTATGTGGTCGGGCCTCTGGGACAGACCAAGGGAAAAAGAGAGCGAACAGAGAGAGAAGGAAAGACTGAAAGAGACAGACAGACAGACATACAGCGAGAGAGAGAACAAGACACAGAGAGAGAGAGAGAGAGAGAGAGAGAGAGAGAGAGAGAGAGAGAGAGAGAGAGAGAGAGAGAGAGAGAGAGAGAGAGAGAGAGAGAGAGAGAGAGAGAGAGAGAGAGAGAGAGAGAGAGAGAGAGAGAGAGGGAGAGAGGGAGAGAGCCAGAGAGAGAGAGACCAGTTTGTTGAATTCAGATCAGGGGTCTCTAACTGGATAGCTAATCGGTCTGCAGGCTTTTGTTCCAGCCCAGTACTAACACACCTGATTCAACTACTGTAATCATGGTCGAATAGTTGATAATTTGACAGGTTTGTTACACACTTGCTGCTGTCCTCAGTGTGAGCATTGTTTAACCCTATTCAGGATGGTACCTCAACTCCTGTATCTTGCAAATGCAACATTTAAATGATAATTTCAACTAGAGCTGGATTATGTGAAGCATTTATAGCCAAACATGTATATAGAGTGCATTCGGAAAGTATTCAGACCCCTTGACTTTTTTCACATTGTTACGTTACAGCCTTAATCTAAAATTGATTAAATAAAACATTTTCCTCATCAGTCTACATACAATACCCCATAATGACAAAGTGAAAATATTTTTTGAGAATTTTTTGCAAATGTATTAAAAATAAAAAACAGAAATACCTTATTTACATAAGTATTCAGACCCTTTGCTATGAGACTCGAAATTGAGCTCAGGTGCATCCTGCTTCCATTGATCATCCTTGAGATGTTTCTACAACTTGATTTGAATCCACCTGTGGTAAATTCAACTGATTGGACATGATTTGGAAAGGCACACACTTGTCTATATAAGGTCCCACAGTAGACAGTGCATGTCAGAGCGAAAACCAAGCAATGAGGTTGAAGGAATTGTCCTTAGAGCTCCGAGAGACAGGATTGTGTCGAGGCATAGATCTGGGGAAGGGTACCAAAAAATGTCTGCAACATTGAAGGTCCCCAAGAAAACAGTGGCCTCCATCATTCTTAAATGGAAGAAGCTTGGAACCACCAACACTCTTCCTAGAGCAATCGGGGGGGAAGGGCCTTGGTCAGGGAGGTGAACAAGAACCCGATGGTCATTCTAACGGAGGACGCGATGGGGTGAAGTTGTGTTTCTCTAATGGGAGGTAAGCTTGGCTTCTTCTTTATATGGTGTTGAGTAAAGCTTAAACCATGTATTTAGATTGTAGGTAGGTATTGTAGTTAGGTATTGTAGGTAGTTTATCTAGGTAGTTATTGTAGGTAATTATTGTAGGTAAGTATTGTATTCGGCTGAGCCCGGTGAGCACGAAGCTAGCTAACCCACTACCAGGACCAATAAAGCTAGCTAGCTAGCGGGTAGCTACTGGTAACTATTAGCAACTGTGGATAGTTGTTTCCAATGTTATTTCACGCTTAAGAGTACCTGTAATTATGCCAGCTAGCTACCTACCATTCAGCTGTTTTTCTAATCTCATTATCTGAAGCGTTAACGTTAGGTAGTTAGTAGCTACTGTACTCGAAATGTAGCTAGCTTGTTGCTACTTGGATAGCTAACTAAACAACAGCTGGAACGACCTAGCTGTAATATTTGGAGACGCTTTCTCTCCGTTGGGACAGACGCGAACTGGCTAAATCGATTCAGTAGCTAGCTTTACACTTAACTAGCTAACAGTAGCTACTAAGGGTAAGTTATAACCTACATTTATTTTAATTTTATTTTACATACTGGTAACCAGAGTCGTTCAAAAGGAATTCAAGACATGGGTGACTAGTTAACGTTAGCTTGGCTCTCTCTGTGTGTTTCATACCGTGGGAGGAGGGGTTGGTTTGTTGACAGAGAGCAATGGCTAGCTAATATGCTAACTATTCTAGCTAGCTAACTAACTGACTGAATAAATTGACGACGTACTCACTCAAACTGTCAAAACTAACCCCAAAACTTTACACAACGTTAGACACAGACACGAATGATCTGTTTAGCGTGTTAACACACTATTGGTAGTTTGTTGTAACCGAGTATTGGTGCTAAACCATGTTATTGGAAGCTAGCATGCTAGTTAGCTATGGCGTCATAGGATACGGTGCCCTGGGCAGTTTTCATGGAAGAATACTGTACCAAGTTAGCTAACTGAATAAACTAAGTTAGAGTCTATTCCTAGAAAACATTGAACCGCTGTAGTTTACAACAATTATAATTTATATAATGGAAGTTGGGAGAGTTATATTTGAGTGTTTCAGTGAAACGTAAGTGAGGGAGGCCCCACTCTCTCGCTTTCCCAGATGTTTAGTTAATTTCATTCCGATCTCCTTTGCATTATTGTAGCCTTTTCTGTAGCCTGTCAACTATGTGTCTGTCTATCCCTGTTCTCTCCTCTCTGCACAGGCCATACAAATGCTTCACACCGCGTGGCTGCTTCCACTCTAATCTGGTGGTCCCTGCACGCACGACCCACGTGGAGTTCCAGGTCTCCGGCAGTCTCTGGAACTGCTGTTCTGCGGCCAACAAGGCAGAGTTCATCTCAGCCTATGCTACCCTCCAGTCCCTCAACTTATTGGCGCTGACGGAAACATGGATTACCACAGAAAACACTGCTACTCCTACTGCTCTTTCCTCGTCTGATCATGTGTTCTCGCATACCCCGAGAGCATCTGGTCAGCGCGGCGGTGGCACAGGAATCCTCATCTCTCCCAAGTGGACATTCGCTCTTTTTCCCCTGACCCATCTGTCTATCTCCTCATTTGAATTCCATGCTGTCACAGTCACTAGCCCATTCAAGCTTAACATCCTTGTCATTTATCGCCCTCCAGGTTCCCTTGGAGAGTTCATCAATGAGCTTGACGCCTTGATAAGTTCCTTTCCTGAGGATGGCTCACCCCTCACAGTTCTGGGTGACTTTAACCTCCCTACGTCTGCCTTTGACTCATTTCTCTCTGCCTCCTTCTTTCCACTCCTTTCCTCTTTTGAACTCACCCTCTCACCGTCCCCCCCTACTCACAAGGCAGGCAATACGCTTGACCTCATCTTTACTAGATGCTGTTCTTCTACTCATCTCACTGCAACTCCCCTCCAAGTCTCCGACCACTACTTTGTATCCTTTTCTCTCTCGCTCTCCTCCAACACTACTCACGCTGCCCCTACTCAGATGGTAATGTGCCGTCGCAACCTTCACTCTCTCTCTCCCGCTACTCTCTCCTCTTCCATCCTATCATCTCTTCCCTCTGCTAAATCCTTCTCCCTCCGATCTCCTGATTCTGCCTCCTCAACCCTCCTTTCCTCCCTTTCTGCATCTTTTGATTCTCTATGTCCCCTATCCTCCCGGCCGGCTTGGTCCTCCCTTCCTGCTCCGTGGCTTGACGACTCATTGCGAGCTCACAGAAGAGGGCTCCGGGAAGCAGAGCAGAAATGGAGGAAAACTAGACTCCCTGCGGACCTGTCATCTTTTCACTCCCTCCTCTCTACATTCTCTTCCTCTGTTTCCGCTGCTAAAGCCACTTTCTACCACTCTAAATTTCAAGTCTCTGCTCTCTAACCCTAGGAAGCTCTTTGCCACCTTCTCCTCCCTGCTGAATCCTCCTCCTCCTCCTCCCCCTCCCTCCTCCCTCTCTGTGGATGACTTCGTCAACCATTTTGAAAAGAAAGTTGACGACATCTGATCCTCATTTATTAAGTCAAATGACACCGCTGGTCCTGCTCACACTGCCTTACCCTATGCTTTGACTTCTTTCTCCCCTCTCTCTCCAGATGAAATCTTGCGACTTGTGACGGCCGGCCGGCCAACAACCTGCCCGCTTGACCCTATCCCCTCCTCTCTTCTCCAGACCATTTCCGGAGACCTTCTCCCTTACCTCACCTCACTCATCAACTCATCCTTGACCGCTGGCCATGTCCCTTCCGTCTTCAAGAGAGCAAGAGTTGCACCCCTCCTCAAAAAACCTACACTCGATCCCTCCGATGTCAACAACTACAGACCAGTATCCCTTCTTTATTTTCTATCCAAAACTCTTGAGCGTGCCGTCTCTAGCCAACTCTCCTGCTATCTCTCTCAGAATGACCTTCTTGATCCAAACCAGTCAGGTTTCAAGACTGGTCATTCAACTGAGACTGCTCTTCTCTGTGTCACGGAGGCTCTCTGCACTGCTAACGCTAACTTTCTCTCCTCTGCCCTTATCCTTCTAGACCTATCTGCTGCCTTTGATATTGTGAACCATCAGATCCTCCACTCCACCCTCTCCGAGTTGGGCATCTCCGGCGCTGCTCACTCTTGGATTGCTTCCTACCTGACAGGTCACTCCTACCAGGTGGCGTGGCGAGAATCTGTCTCCGCATCACGTGCTCTCACCACTGGTGTCCCCCAGGGCTCAGTTCAAGGCCCTCTCCTATTCTCTCTATACACCAAGTCACTTGGCTCTGTCATATCCTCACATGGTCTCTCCTATCATTGCTACGCAGACGACACACAATTAATTTTCTCCTTTCCCCTTCTGATAACCAGGTGGCGAATCGCATCTCTGCATGTCTGGCAGACAATCAGTGTGGATGTCGGATCACCACCTCAAGCTGAACCTCCCGGGGAAGGACTGCCCGCTCCATGATCTCGCCATCATGGTTGACAACTCCATTGTGTCCTCCTCCCAGAGTGCAAAGAACCTTGGCGTGACCCTGGACAACACCCTGTCGTTCTCCGCTAATATCAAAGCGGTGACCCGATCCTGCAGGTTCATGCTCTACAACATTGGCAGAGTACGACCCTACCTTACACAGAAAGCGGCACAGGTCCTAATCCAGGCACTTGTCATCTCCCGTCTGGATTACTGCAACTCGCTGTTGGCTGGCC